CATGATAATATTTTATCATCTAGTCAAAATTAAAAAAAAAATGTATAAGCTTACAACATTTAAATGCGTCACACAAAATAAAATTCAATCAATGAATAAATTAATTGTTCGATTGTCTTAAAATCTTATTTATCATTTTTTAATTGAATTTTTTAATCACTTATACTTTTTAGATCCCATTATTATTAATTGTCAAATATTATGCTAAATACAATTATAAACGAATATAACAACATATTTTATAATTATGAAATAATGATAGATTTAGAAATGGAAATATGATTCTACCAAAAAATCATAAAAAAAATAAGTTTTTTCATTTGGCCATTAATTTTTGTTACCTTGAATGCATTAATACATTTTACATTCCCTTGGTACCAGTTTAATATTTAATAATAGTAAATTTGTATCTTTTTCTATTTAGTTATATTTTTTATGACAAATAAAAATACAAATTTGCCCACACGTGTAAACAAATTTACCGTTAAAAAATCAAAGAAAATTCTGTATTCATCAATACGTTATTGTTTGGTTAATAATAAAATTAAAAAGAATAATTTGATACTTATGTTCTTCTTTTATAAATATCAATGGATTATTTGGTTCAATGCACAAATAATATTTATAGATTTCATCGTAAGGATATCAAATAATTAATAGGTATACAAAAACTATGGAAAATGGCAATATGATTTAAATTGTTTAATAAATTATTAATTTAAAATTAATAATTTGTAAAGATTGGCATAAATTTTTCTTTACAATTAACATGCCTTCAAAAAATGTTGGACTTAAATATTTATATACAACCTGTAATTATCAAACCACAATCAGTTAGTAAAACATTTATATTAAAAAAATTTCGTGTAACTATAATAATTCATATATTCAATTATATGATCAATATGTTGTTACCGATATACTTATAGCTGACAAGAAAATTTAATCTCTATAAAATTAGTTGAAAAATCTCTATTAAAAAATTAAGTGAGAAAATTTAATCACTACAAATTAAATATTCCTAGTTTTATTAATTACAATTTTAAAACTACTTTGAATTTAAGTATAAAAAAGTTTAAATAACTGAAAAGTAACATGATTGTACAAATATTTTATTAAATATATGGTAAAATTATTCAGTTAAAATTTCATTGGATAATCCGATAGTTCATAAAATACTATTGAATAAACTCGATGTACATTTGATAAAAATGAAACTTGTGTATATATAATTAACTTTTTTTAGAAACCAAAGGTCAACATTTTGACTCGACTTGGCAAGGGTTTTTTAATTCTTTTAAATTTTTACTATTAATAATAAAAAAATAATTCTAAATTAAAAAAAGGTTTAGGGAAAGTTCAGCTTCACTTTTTTTTAAATTACTGTAAAAATTAAATTTGAATCAACATATCAAAAGAAATACTTGTGTTAATGCTGTGTAAATAATGTCGATTAATAAAAAACACAATAATATTGCGGTTATTATGGAATAAACTTTATTAAAACAATAGATATATATGTATGTTCAACGGTATGTGCCTGGTATATTCTCGTAAAATATTAAGTAACAAAATTCAATGAATATTTTTAAACTTTGGGCTAGTTACCCTTGAAAAGCTGTGGACAAATTTTTCGTGCTGCATGTTGGAATACACCATTTGCTGTTTTTATCTTGACAAAAAAGATCTTATCATCGTTACCCACTATTACCTCGACTAGTTTACCGAATGGCCATTTCAAAAGTGAAATATTCTCCTCCTTAGCTAAAAAAACATAACCGAGCTGATAACCCAACCGATAATTCTGACCATTTACTCTTTTCTTTAAGTTGCAATAAAAAATCGTATCAACATTGCTTCAAAATATTTGAGTAAAGTGTCGTTCTTGAGTCTACTGTCCATCTTGACGAGACTCTATTAGTCTATAAATATACTTGGCTTTAATAATTTGCTTTTGCTGCTTATTTCACTTATTTTATTCAGTATACTGATTTCATTGTGCCATTTATTAACCTGTATAATTTTTATTGTGCAAATAGTTATATCGTTTATGTCTTTAATACGAATAGGACCACATGTTTGATTTACAATACCGTGCCGTTAACAGTAACGCATACAAAATTAAGGGGTTTTGAAGATCACTGCATATATATATATATATATATATATACAGAGTGTTCAGTAAGTCAGGAAACGGGTTTCATTGTTACATGTAACATTATACATTGTTACAAACAATGAGAACAATAGAAACCTGTTTCCTGACTTACTGAACACCCTGTATATACATATACATAGACTGGAGGTGAAGCATGGGTGTTATTATTTTTATCCTTAGTCCTTTTTCGACCACTCTCTTTATTCGGCCTAGGTACAAAATTAAGAATAGCATCCGATGTATTTATCCAAAAGTTGTTATCGACCGTCATATTAATAATTAGATCATTTTCTATTTTATAAGCTAGTTATACAGGGTGTTCAGTAAGTCAGGAAACGGGTTTCTATTGTTCTCATTGTTTGTAACAATGAGAACAATAGATACCCGTTTCCTGACTTACTGAACACCCTGTATAAATGTTGCTTTAAAAAAAAATAAGGTGAACACCTCAATAATCTATAAGGATGAATATAAAAAATATTTTATTACAGATAAATGAAAGTATGTATGCAATTAACAAAATTAAAATTAAATTTTTTAAAAAAATTAAATATTTTAAGAGAAATTAAGTAGTAGGCGTTAAAAAACCCACTTTGTATATAATTTTTATGTATATACAGAATGATTTATTATGGATTAAGACACTCGTTTTCTCGGTAACTATTGAAAATTTTTAATTTTTAATTAGGAAAATATTGTTTCATTAGAAAAACTCTACAATAATATGCAGTAAAATCATAATTTTTCATCTCTTCAAGATTAAAAAACATTAACTTGATTTTTCTTAAATGGAAACCCCTATTTTGAATTTGTTATTATGATTTAAATTAAAAATATATATAAATTTGCTCTTATAATTTTTTTTCCCATCAACCATTCGTCTGTTACAGCTTGTTAAAGTTAAATGATTTTGGATTTAATTTCTATTATTTTACTGTTTTGAATACAGAAGTCACTATTTTTAATATAAACTAATTTTTATTGACCAAGATATGACGACATGTAAGATAGCAATAATAATTTACGACAGACTTATTGAGAGATAATAATAATAGATTCAAATCGAGCCTTAACTATATTATTAATAGCACAGCCTATTGGTTTGTAAGACAAACTGTAATACTGAAGAATCAATTTCTTTGAAAAATCCAACTCTATGTGTAGTATAGTGACTCTTAATAATCGAATTCTACGATAATCTTATTGTAATCATTAAAAGTTGTAGCGTAACCTCATAAACTTAATTAAGTTAAATTAGTTTATGTTACACCATAGAAAATAAGTATATGCATATATATATATGCACATTTCATAGTCAATATTTTTTCGAACTATGTCATTCTTGTTTTTCAAACAAATTATGGTCATTTTACAAACATATAAACACTATCATAAAACAGTGTACAAATCTTTAAAAAGAATAATGTGTCATTACAATTTACATTATTTTCTTAGTATTAACTTCTGAAAACTTTCGATTCATTAATTTATACCGTCAGGTTGTTTTAAATATATAAACAGGCTTTGCAATTAATATTGTTCATTTAAATTAAAAAAAAAAATCGAATTAAACTTTTTTCACATTGAAATTCTGACATTAGAAACTAAACCCAAATCAATTAATAACAACAGCTGGTTTCCATTTCGTATACATAATAGCACATTTGTTATTATTTATGGTTTACTGATACCAATACAATATATCCCATAATTATTCACTTTAATAAAGAATAATAATTATAAAATAATAATAAAATGATTAATAATGTATATAATTTTATTTACTAGATGTAAAATAGTAAAAAAGTAATGGTAATATTTAAGAAATTGTTAATACAGAGTGATCCAAATGAATTATTTTAAAATACAGAGTGATTTAAATAATAAAAAAAAACCCAACACAAGGGAGTCGCGGCACAGTAGTAACGTGGCATAGTTGGATCAAGTATAATGATATCTGACAGTGATTAAAATCACTATAAAAAAAAACGCTTCGATGCAAATCTTTAGATAGTGTTTAATTTTAAAAAATTGGTGGATTATTTCAAAAGCTACATGATCTGCTATTATCTTATTAATATACTGATTGAAAAATGGATTATTAAAAAATATTATTTCTCATAGAAAAATTGTGTTGGTCCATACACTTTTCAATAAATTGTAGTATTACAAAGTTAAAAATGTAAAAAATAAAATCAAGAATTTTCACACGAAAATAGCATTTGGTAGCCATGTACACCACGATAACAAGTCCAGAGGTCAAATTTTTTTTTTTCAAATTAAAGTATATTACATTAGCTTTAATTTAACATATACATAAAAGTATCAGATCTTCCGGAACACTTTCAAAAATCAAGTTGGAAAAGTAAATTTTTTGTGAAAAAGTTGTACCAAAAAAATGTACCAAATGATAAGTTAAAACATTATGCATCTATTGAAAAAAAAATTATATTGATTTGTTCAATTTTGAAAAAGTTATGACAGTTTTTAGTAAAAATAAATAAAAAATTTCAAAAATTAGCGATTTTTAAATTTGTAATTTTTTTGGAGATTTCCCCCATTTACGGGAAACGAGGGAAATTTTTTCAATTTTTGAGGGTAATATCTTCGACTAGATACGATTTGTGATCTTTTGACGTATCGTTGAAAGAAATCCGTTCAGTGAGAGCTGAGAAAAAGTGGTAATAGACACAAAAAAAAAAAAAACAACATACTAAAACCAATACCTTCTCAGCTTCGCATCGAAGCTAAAAACAAATGTATAATATAAGTACTATTTTTAATAACATTTTTTTTGACGCCAATGTACAAATTCTAATTACAGATTTCATGTGTGTTTTAGATATATATATGTCTGTCACGCACCTGTGGCAAGAACGTGGTGTACAATGCCGAGGGTATTAAAATGTGTTGCCTGGATATCTGTAATGGCATCACTTCATCAATCAACAAGATTTTTAGATAGAACATATGAACCAGTAAAAATATCTTGGAGAGGTCAAGACTCTGTAGTCGTTTGTAGAGTAATTATCAATTAGTTTTATATCATAGACAAGTAGTATGTAATTTTATTTTCGTTAATAGACAAAGTTAAAATAATACTTTAATTAATACTTAAAAGAATAATGAAATAATGAAAATTCAGCTATATTTATAACATAATTGTTTAAGAGGGACAAATTTATGACGTTTCTAAGACGCAAGTTTAATGTTAATTTCTAAAATAAGTAAACTGTAAAGAATCACTACAAGTTTGTCCGTACAAACGATTAGATTTATTTTAAATATTTTTTTTTGTGGTACTCATAAATCGTAGTTATAATTATTTTGGTGTGTAAATTTAATAATAATTTTTCTTCTACATTATTATTATAATCAGTTAGATTGATAACATTTTTAAAAAAAGATCCATACACTGATTTATGACAATCTTCATTAGAGAAATATCCGACGAAACATATCATATTTGTTGAAGTATAAAGTAGAATTTTATGTAAATAATAATTTAAAAATAAATGTATTATATATATATATACATATAATAATAATAATATATACAGTAACATTAGAAAAAAATTATCAAGAAACGTCTAGAAATATTGACAAATAACATCCGTATGTAGTCTATACTATGTACTCATTAAATTATGTACAGATAGAAGTTTTTGAATGCAAAATTGACACTATTCATTGATTTTTAAGTAATTTATTTTTTTCTTAACGATGCAAATTTAACCAGTATAAATATTAAAAATAAGGTTCTTTACGTTAATAACAGACAGACAAATTGAAAAACAACTTATTTTTGAAAAAAAGTGATCCGCAACATTTTTACTATTATAGATTCATATTTAATATTCATGGTAAAATTTTTAAATTTATCGTAACATTAATTTATTATTTTCAACTAATAAGTGATCAATAACTTACTTTTAAGTTTTTGCTCAGCTTTACTATAACTGTTCTAACCCACAAACATCATTTCAGCCATCTCAATCCATAGTCTGGATTTCGCGTGTCGGTCGGAATACTATTTATTATCTGTATTCTATAAACATTTTTGTTTTTCTATTTACACAATAATCATATCTATGTCAAAATATTTTTTTTTTTTTTTAATGTGAAAGAGACGCACAAAAAATAAAAAAACCCAGCACAGTGAGATTGCGGTACAGTGGGAGGGGACGTGGCATAGTTGGATCCAGTATAGATTTAATCTGACAGTGATTAAAATCACTATCATAAGAAACGCTTCGATGCAAATCTGTAGATAATGTTTTATTCTAAGAAATTGGTATCTAATTACAAAAGCATTATCAACTATTACCTAAATTATATCCAGATTAGTAATTCTTAGATTCAAAAATATAATATAAAATTTTATATTATAGAATTTTTATATTGAATTGTTTTCAAATTATTATTGATTTCGATTTTTAATATGTTAAAAGTAATAATTTTTAACCTACTTTATTTCGTCCTTTAAAGTAACAGTTTCTAATAATAAAAAAAAAATGAATTTTTACCATAACTTTTAGCTCAACTTGTAAGTTTGAACTTGTTATTATTAAATAGAAAAAAATGAAATTGTTAAGTATAATATGCAGTTAGCATATTTTATAATTATTATTTACAGTAAATTTATCAAAAAAGTTCAATTTTTAGCTTCGATGCGAAGCTGAGAAGATATTGGTTTTAGTATGATGTGTTTTTTTTTTTTTTTTTTTTTTCTGTTACTATACAGATTTCTTTCAACGATACGTCAAAAGATCACAAATCATATCTAATCTATGATCAATTAAAAAAAATTATGTTGATTTTTGAAAAAGTTATGGAAGTTTTATATTGCATTATCGGTCATTGCATATCATAATGTTTCCGGACTTTTTCTTATAAAAGTTTTAGCATTGCTAACTAACATACATAACTAGTGATCACTTTTGTCTGTGACTGTTGGAAGGTGTTCAAATTTTATATTCACTTTATCGTCAATTAGTGACATTTAAAGTACGTCATGCTATCAAATATATTTCAAGCTACATGAACTTGGACGACGAGTTCTAGTCGATAGTTTGGAAAAAAGACTAGACTAATATCACGGAATATTTCTGTCAATTTGGGAAAGTAATCACTCTATGTGTGCTTTGAGGCAAAAGCTTCACAGAAACCTCCTGTGAGATCTATTCATATTGACCCTCTGTGACTTCTAAATGAAAAAAATCCGAAACTAAACACGCTACGTATAGTACGTATCTCATGTGCATATTTTTTGAACTACGGACAATTATTGTCGTTAAACAAACACAATAATTTCGGGTTTGTTGAAAATGTTCATAAAGGCATTTATGGAAGGAACCAAATTTCGAGGCCTTGGAAATCGAGATATTTAACTAATTACTAGAGGGTGATACCTGTAGAGTACACGTAATATTTAAAGCAGATCAAGCGATTCAAGGTCCGTTAGTTACACATTAGCTGGTGTTGCACTTGTTGGCGCTGGTATTTCAAGATAATATTTCATTTATTGAACGTAAAATACGAATGAGAAACTTATCTCGAGTGACTGAGAATGCTATTTCGTACAGAGTATCGTGAGTCTTAACATAATTAGTACGTAGATGTAAACCATAATCATTGAGATATTTTGCCATTTTGGAACGTTATTAATAGTCGATTATTTTTCACCTATAAAACGCGTCGTATGTAAATATTATTTGTTGAGACTAATTCAATTATAACATTTTCTACGTTTATTTTATCAAAAGTAGTGGACACCATTGTAGCAGTAATCATTTTTATATAGTCTGTTCACTACCGTTGTGTTAACATTAAGTCCAACTACAAAACACCCGAATTTATTTTGATTGAGTGTTGCCAATTGACACGTGGTAGTTGCATTTCAAAGATCATTCGTTGGGCTTGATTATTTTTTATTAATAATATTGTTGAATAATAAACAAAAAAAAGATACTGTCTGGCTTAATGTGAAAAATAAAATATTGCTATGTGCTGCTTCATCATTTCAAGGAAATTCTAATTACATATAAAATTAACCGAAAAAATTTGATGATATATTAAACATGAATCAAAACGTAAATTATTAAATAAATTTAAATATAATATTACAAATTATAAACTGTAATATTTTTGATGATTAAAATATTTAGGTGAATTAAATAATGTAGTTGAATGATATCGATTTACTAAAAGCTGTAGATGTCTTCGCTAAAATATAAAATCGTAGATATTCTTTGATTTTTATGTTTTATTAGCAATTAAAATTGTATGTTACCTAAATAATTTTGATTAGGTAATAAATTAGTAGAAATTAAATGATTTACCATAAAATTGTATTCCGTGAGTAAAATTTAAAAGAAATAATCTATTTTTCATATGTTATTCTATAATTATACAGATAGGCAAAACAACTCGTGACTTTTCATAAAAAAATGATTATTCCAATTTTACAAAATATGAGTCAAAACAGAACGAAATGAATACAATAAAAGTTTCTTAGTATAACAAATATATATAGTAAAACTCATGTTGTAGCTTTGTTATAATTTTTATTATTATTCAGTTTTCTAATTCATTATAAAGATTTCTGAATTCATTAAAAAATTATCTCCAATGAAAATAGTTCATCATATTTTAAAAGTTAAATTGTATTCATAATTATAGTACCTAATATAAAGTGTATAAATAGTTCAAACATAAAATGGTTATAATACTTTTTATATATTTAATTATTTAATAGTTTATTCAATTTAAAAAATACTTATTCAGTTAAATAAATAAAACTATATTTGATAATATACGTCAATACAAAAGAAATATAAAAGTATGAAATATTTAATTATATTTTTTAGTCTAATTAAAATTATCAAAAACATTAAAATTGTAACGCACAAATATCGAAATAATGTTGAACATTTCATCTTAACTTTTGTCTACAATTTTTTTATTATGTTTCTACATTGATCATATTCAATTAGATGAACTGATATTAAAAAACATAAAATATATAGAAAATGAAATGGTAAAACTAATCTCGCCAAGCATCTTCAATGATGGTACATTGGGTTCTTCATTTAAGGAAGTTCAGGAAGATGTAAACAAGAGTATATGGTTAGATGAAAATGATAAGAGGGAGTTGCTTCAGAAATACTATGAAGATGCCATGGTGAACCGATCAATGAAATACTTGTATGTATTGGCCCATTATGGTAGTATGACAACTGGTCTGAAAAATCATGATAAATCTATTGAAAATTTAAGTACCGCGGTATGTACTATAAGTAATTTTTTAAATTTTATTCATTTAAAAAATGAAGTTCTAGTAAACATCAGTAATACTTTAAACACTTTCAAAGATTTACCAAAAGAACCAAATTCTGTTTCATATCTTGCAACCATACCCCATGTTTTCATTGAAATCATAGAAATCATAAATAATTATTTCAAAGGTAAAGAAGTTTCGCAATACTATTTTAGTGATGATATATTTATATTTGAGCGAGGACAATTTTGGGATATGTTCAAATCTGTAATAAGTAAAAACTTAGAAAATGAATATTATCCTCCAACAAAAATTGAAAACAAAAATCAAGAACTAATTGAAGCTATGAACATTCTTATTGCAAACTTATTAGAAGAATATAAAGTGTAATTCTTGATACCGCTGAAAATGACGAAAAGAATTGAAAAATAAATAATTTTATACCATGAGTTTAAATTATAAAGTTTATCAATAAATTATTTATTCACACAAGTTTTTCTTAACAGTTTTAGTATATTAAAATTAATTATCTCCAACACTATTTTTAGAATCGAATTTCCACTATACATGATTGTTCAAAAGTATGTTATTGCATTAAGACAAAACTAAAATTAACCAAATATATTTTTTAAGCTAAATAATGTAAAAAAATATATGAATCATTTTTCTTTACACAACAAAAATATTATAATTAAAATTTTGAAATAAAAAAACATAAATTATATTAAAAATATATTATTTGCTCATGTTAAATACATATGAATATTAAGTTTGAATATTGGTTTTGTACAAGAAGTATTCATCATTTTGGCCTAATATTATTTGAAATTAAAAATATTAATTTAAAACTAAACAATATAAAAATATTTAACTCGAAAAGCCATAAAAATTACTTAAGAATTCTGTATGGGTAATTCGGGTATAATGTTATACCCAGTGACAGCTCGTGGCTTTGACGACGGGACGACCCCTTCTAAAATTAAAATGAGAAAATTAATTGTATATTCTTAATTCTACATTTTTAAGAGAAATGCAAATTTTTAAATAGTAAAATACATTTGTCGTGCGCGAACTTTAAAATTGTTTCCCTAAGTATATGTGGGTACGGAAACACACATGAGTAGTGTTTGGACGACCGGCAACGTCGTGCGAGTAATATTTTGAATAGTATAAGGGAGACGTTGCAATTGTGGGCGTGCGGGTGCGGTTCAGCTGTAATCTTATGTGCAGGTTTTAGACGACCGGATACGGAGAAATATTAGTATATTACCATATTGGGTAATTTATTTTTTAAATTAACTGTTTGTCGTTATTGGTTGTTATAATAGTATAATCGTTATTATTATTATTTATTATTAATCTTGTGTACACTGGTAAAATGTAACAATCGACTAAATTATAACATCAACGTTACTAAGGTGTTTATAAGGGAGTATTTTTCGACCGGGGTGTCGGTATGTGTTTAGCTCTGATGTTGGTAATATTGTTCCCGAAATAGGTATAAACAATTCTTTAGTAATTTTTATGGATTTTTCAATTAAATATATATATAAGTTTCAAAATATTTTAAATAGTTTTATATAGTTTTAAAAGTCCTTAGTATACCATGACAAAAATATACAAAAGATTTGAAATAATTTTAATAATAAATATTATTTTGTATGTCCTCAGTAAGTTAGTATAAATTAAAATAAAATCACAGAAGTCAAGGACTAGTTTCCACGAGGTTTTAAATGACATCCAAAAATTATATTATTATTTAAGTTTATTAATTTTATGAGGGAGAATTAAGAAGGCACATATTTAAAATTCTTTAAATTATTACAGCAAATTATATGTTTATAAAGCCGTAACGAAAGGTAAAACATATATTAGTTTTTAAGTTTTTTTTTTCAATTACATCTAATAAACCTGTTGAGTAAACACTGTCTTTACTCTTGTTAGTTCAATAATTTTTAAATTTGTATAAAGTAGTAGGGAAAAGTACTGGTTAGTGTGTATGTGTATATATTGGCGAGCACAGATGTATAAAAGTATCGTACCGCAATTGTGCGTTGATAAACAATGAATACACTATGAAATAAAAAAACGCTTCCATTATACCACCTTCTGTTTTCTTCAACAAAATCAACATTTCTCAACAAAAAAATCTCTAATTATGAATATGATATTTTCATTTATGAATACTTCCGTAAATAAAAAATAATATAATAGTACATTACCTATACGACGTTATGAATTATTCAATGATAAACCTATTAAATTGTCTATACATTATACAGTAAATCATACAACAAAAAAACACAGCACAAGGGGGGTCGCGGCACAGTGGTGACGTGGTATAGTTGGATCAAGAATAATGATATCTGTCAGTGATTAAAATCACTATAAGCTTAAAAGCTACATGATCTGCTATTTTCTTATTAATATTCTGAATGAAAAAGGGATTATTAAAAAATATTATTTCTAAGAAAAAAATTGTGTTGATCCATACACTTTTCAATAAGTTGTAACATTATAAAGTTAAAAATGTAAAAAATAAAATCAAGAATTTTCACACGAAAATAGCATTCGATAGCCATTTTCACCACGAAGACAAGTCCAGAGGTCAATTTTTCATTGATTTGTTCAATTTTGAAAAAGTTATGGCAATTTTTAGTAAAAAAAATTGAAAAAATTTCGAAAATTAGCGATTTTTAAATTTGTAATTTTTTTGGAGGTTTCCCCCATTTACGGGGAACGAGAGAATTTTTTTCAATTTTTGAGGGTAATATCTTCGACTAGATACGATTTATGATCTTTTGACGTATCGTTGAAAGAAATCCGTTCGGTGAGAGCTGAGAAAAAGTGGTAATAGACACAAAAAAAAAAAAAAAACAACATACTAAAACCAATATCTTCTCAGCTTCGCATTGAAGCTAAAACAATATGTAAATTGTTTTGCGAACTAAAACAAGTCCCAAAACCGTACGATTTAACCGCCCATGTGTGATGGTGGTGATAAAATATCATGTGTTATGATTATAAACGGTACAACGGCACCGCCGTCAAACCGCGACATGCAACGGTTTTGAGATCTACCGAGTGGACGATAATGGAGATACCGTGGTAGTAGACGATCACGGTTCAAACATGCATATTCTTGATGAACGGCATAACCGTCTTAGTGTATCGGGGCCCATTAAATTTAAAATTAAACCTATGTAAACTATTATCTATACACAATTCTCATAAAAAAAATTTATGCGTAATAATTATATTGTATTGTAATATATTAGAATATAATATAATTTATTATATATATTAAATATATAATAATATAAAAATCAATTACAAAAACATGGTTTAAAAAACATAAAACTATTATTAAATTATTTAATTTTGATTTATTTTATTGTTTTTTGAATACTATATTTTACACGATACACTTTTTTTTCAAACTTCAAATTTTTATAGTATATTAACAGTTATAGAACTAAAACATTTTTTTAAATTAGGTCTCCAAACACAAATAATGCACCTAGAATATACGTATTTTTGGTGGTCGTACAACCATATCTTGATGATTTGACATGGATTGACCCTTTTTATTTTATTTTTTTTAACGGTCAACACATTATTGGACGCCCTGGAACTACCGTGAGGTATTTCTTCAGGGCGATGGATTGATCCTGGTGTTAATTAAAAAAAGTAAATTTCATCTAATTTTAAAACATAATATTGAATCATTATTTTTTAACTGAGTGACATCAAACAATGTCATACTAAATGCAGCATTATGCTGACTAATTATTGCTAGGAAATATTTGAACAACACATACCTTTGGTTTAACCTTTATACTTCAATGCTGTACAATTGATACAAAAGGCAAAATAGTATCCATTAAGCTAATATTTACAATATTCTCATTATAATACCTTTACTTAGAATTATAAATAAATGCTGATTTAAATAAGATCCAAAGTAAACAATCAACGCCGAATATTCTAAGTATAGCAGTCGATTATAAATATTTCTGATTTGATTTGATAATATCGAGTTAACACTAAGAATTTGTATTAAAAAATAAAAGATTTTTCACTCCCTAAACGATGAAAAATAAAATATTTTAATCACATACTAAGTATTGTAGAGATTTTTGAATCAAATAATTTTTCTTTTTACAGAAATTTTAAATTTGTAATAGTTTCTGAAAAATGAGCATCTTATCCAAAATCGATCACCTTGTATAGTTTTGATATTCATATTGGTATTCAATATTGGGTATTACTTTTAACAGTATATTGAACTAGTATTGATGATAAAACGACGATTATCATTAAAAAATATATCAATCCTTTACTGGTATCAGTAATATTGAGAAAAGTTCAACAATAGTCACATTTTTTATCTTTGAATTGACAACTGAGGGAGGACTGCCTTTGCTTTGTTTTCTCTTGAGCCATAATGTGTGTTTGAAAAAATACTAGAAATTTATTTCACAAACTCTTCCCAATTTTTCCTATTTTTTGTCATTATTTGGATTATTGTGTTTGATATGATTACGTCATCCAACAATAATTCTAGATTCATCAACTTTGTCATCCACTGCTTACGTTTAAAAAATGTATGATTCATATCAATCTTTCAATCCTCACATAATAAACTATAATGTTTTCGTTACTAGTTTAAATAAGATTGGAAATAGTCATGTCCTGTCAAAAATAATGTAATGTAGTAATTGATGACCTTATTTGTATAGTTCGCCCCACTTGTACAGTGTCACATGTGTATAAGCCTTTTTGTTCACTCTCTTTGATTCACATGTCTGGCAGTCCACTTTTCTTGCTACCAGATCCAGATTTTGTTATAAACTTCTTTTTTTACATTGTCTACATTAACTCTCTGGAGTTGACGGAGTTCAGGTCTTTTTCTTACTACTATGTGAATAGGAACTAAGCCAGATAATACAGCTACTATTGACACTATCTTATGCTATTTAGACTTGCTATTTTTAATGCGATGTGATGTTGTCCAACGATATTCCTTCGGTATTTGTACAACGTTATTTCGATGTAGTTCTGAAAGACTAATACCGAACTTCACGATGGTGTGGCGTATAATATTTGATTACAATGATAGTCGTTAGACAGTGTCTTGTGAAAAAATTACACTTAAAGTTTGCTAACAGTCTTTTGCATAGTATTTGCTTTTATTCATGTATACTTTTATTTTTTAATTGAAACCCTATACAATATACAATATATACAATAATTATAAAACTAAACTCTGTTTGTTAAGTATCTCTATTTTTATGATATTAATTTTGAATTTAAATTTATAGATTATTATGCTCAGTTATTACACAAAACTGTTAAAAAAATTATTTTCTATCAAAAAATATCGAAATGTGAATTTTGAAAATGAGTGCATGGTATTATTGGTGATGTCATTATACATATACATCAACATTTAGTTATATCGTCTATTATATAATAATAAATAAAGGGATGATGAATGCCTTGTTTATTAACCCACTAGATGCTTTTAATTTCATACATAATTATAATTTTTTGAAAAGTCTGCCAAAGCAATACACTCATTGGACACTAATATTCTTTTTTTTAATTTTAAACAAATTTGATTAGATCTTAGAAATATATTTTTATAGTTTGATAATTCTATTAATTAAAAATTAAAAATTAAATCTTCTGTACTTTTTAAATTTGTTACTAATTCTACCCAATCACTACTCACTCGTGGTGTAAAAACAATGTTTTTTCCCTCGCTATCAAGCTATTTTAAGTATTCATAGTTATTGGGACAAATTAAATATTCAATCATCATATCATTATCATTTTGTTACATATTATGCAAATGACAATAAAAAACATACACTTTTATTGAATAATAATCATATATTTAAGTAATTTATATTATATATCTGTATTAGAGTTCTAAAATCATATGAGCAATTTTAGGTGGTAGTTAATGACATATTTCAACAAGTTTAACAAAACATTGTTTTACGATACTGGTCTGATCCTTGAAATATTTTGGTCAGTATAATGACTGCTATCATAGCAGCCATACTGGGAGAAGGCTGAATCAGGTATCCTGAGCTTTTTCCGTTGCACTTATCTGTACTGCAAACTATACAAGCTTCCAATTTGGCATCTGGAGTAACAGTCTTATCTAAAGTCAGACAATCATCCACTTTTTCTGTAGCCTTACAACCACGTTCCATGGATTTAGTTGTTCCATCTTTAAAAATATACAATTATTATAAATATATTACCACATAATTTGACACTTACTTGTCACAGCTACTTTAAAACAGAAAAATTTTCCACTCGAACCTTCAGTTTCATTAGCAAATGTTTTAACCTTTTTAAAAGCTGCAGCTGTTGCCTCTCCAGCAGGGGTAGTAGCCTCTCCAGCTGGGTTAGCTGCCTGTGCTGCTCCGCATTCGGTCGTCGGAGCGCTACTTGCGAATTTCTCATCTGAACAATTAGGATCAGCCCAGCTACACTTATAGCACGTCAAGCAATTACCAATATCTGTTCATTAAAAATAATCATTTAAATTTTAATTTAAAAATTATTTCTTGTCTACTCACGTGGAGCAAAAGTAATCATTAGAACACCAAAAGTCAGCACAACAGGGAATTTGTTCATTTTTAAATTAATTAAACTTTACGTTAGTAAATAGAATATGACTGAACTACTTGGTTATTAACCAAAATAGAAACAATTAAAAGTTATTCAAATAAAAAAATCGGATTTAAAATATTTATTCCTTCCTTAAATTCACTTAACTATGTATCAACAATGACTGACCAACCAAGAAATTGTTTTCAATCTCATAAAATAGATACATTTATTTCTTTTCAGCCATATAGTTAAAGAACTCAAAACAATATTTATTAGCCAGCTGTTAAATTTTAAAATCAATTAATATAGCTATAATATTATCAACCAGATCGATCGAACCGCAAACCAAACTATAAAGATATACAGGTGGTTCCTGATATAATGACAGAGTACTATGTTTTCCATAGCCGCACACAACATTGTAGCCTATAATGAAAGTGTATTGACATGTGAAACAACATAAGTTCGCAATGATTTATTGTTAAGGTTTGTCTCTGTGACGCGTTGGAACATGGATTCTAATCCCGTATCATGTCTCTTTTTTATTATACGATTTTCCATATAATACTATGACCAACCGTCAATCCCCGACATTTTTTATTCATCAATGAAAAATATAATAAATTTAACTAAGATTGAGAAAATTATGAAAAAAGTTTATTGTAATTTTAAGATTGTCATTTTATAGTCAGTAGCATTTTAAGAAATTTTGTATAGATAGCTTTTAAAACTACACTCACTATCAAGGTTTTATGTTCACGTGAAAATCCGGACTCCAAAAACAATTCCATAAATATGCTACTGCATAGTGTAGGTCTAAAGAAAAATTAACTAACAAAAATCTCTTAATATTTTATAGTTAATTTTCTAAAAAATTTTAAAATTTGTAAGAAATTTATTTTTATATATTTTTTTATGTTACCAGAATTATTTTTTTTCATTTTAAAATAGCCATAAATCTTATACACGTACAATAACGAAATTTTTATCAATAATACTAGAGCAATAAAGTTCTTTTAGTATTCTTTTTACGTAAATTTTATCTAAAATCTAAGTAATCACCTGGTAAAACATACTAAAAATTGTGTTTATTAAGTTTTAATAACTAAAAAATGTATTCAACTTAAAACGTAATCCTGGTATTCTTAATTTCTTTGTAACCAATTTTCCAAGTTATCTAAACACTGAAATTAATCATATTCAGATCACATGCTTATTTTACTAACAAGCGGTGCGTCTCCTTCAGTTTTGCACGGCCATCTGTAACGCCGTTTTACCAACGGGATCAACTTCAGAAATATAATAACTACAAAAGCGAGTTCAGAAACTAAATTAAAATCACTTTTTAAATAATGTATGTATTCCATTAATTAATTCTAAACAGAAAATTGAACAACTTAACACTCAAATACAAAAAAAAATATGAAAATATGAAAAATGGACTTTTTTAAATAATGTCCAACGACTATCTTATTATGGGAAATCGACCATCAAAGGAAAAATTTTGTAAAATCAACCTTAAACAACACTAACAGCTATTAAATTTAGTGGAAAATAAGTTTTTATTACAAACGTAGCAATTATTATTTCCTACCGAATATCATTATTGCTGAGTATTTAAAATTCGTTTAAAAACTCCTTGCTATTTACAAATAAATATAATATTAGCTACAGTTTTCTTAACCACATTCAAGAATTATTATTTAAAATAACCACACTTTTTTTTTTATCGCTTTATCAGCTCATTATGGGCCATAGCGGCCGCCCCCAAACAACTGCATAGCAATATTTAATCTATAAATGTGCCTACATATATTTTGTGTTATAAGACTCTTTTGAATTCCTTCGTTTAATAATCCTAACGAATATTAATGCTAGAAGTAGAAATATAAATAAAAATTATTTACAAAAATATGTTCATCAAATTTTTATAGTGCTGTAAACTTTTTTATTGTAAAATAAACATTTTCTTATTTATTAAACCCATTATTTTTGACTAAACATTTTTTTAGAAGTTTCCTTTAACAAAAAAAGAAATGATATTTGATGTCTTGATTTTTTTATTTACTGTGGATCATTTAACTTAAAATTATAAAATTTGAGAAATGACTTTTTTAATTGTCAATCCGTGAAATATAGATGGATATTGATGCATATTTGAATACAAGACAAATTATTATTATTAATACCATTACATTAGTTTAACAAATAACAAAATAAATATATCAAAAGAAAATAATCCAGTCTGAGCATTAACGGGTTACTAAGTTAAAGTTAAGTTAATCAATTGAGATCCGATTTTTAATTTTTAGTTAAAATGATACAAAATCATTTTTTTTAATAAGAGTGTCCCTAATATATGCTAAACATTGATTTTCAAAAATATTTTTTCAACTTAAACCTTTTTAAACTTAACATTTTTGAACTTTGGACACATTTTACTCTTATTTTTTACATCATTTAGTATATCTTTAGTTTTGGAAGCAATGTTCTTCCTACCCTAAATTAATTTTTTTTTTTTTAATTATTGTTTAAGTTTACAATAAAAATGATGAGTACACAATAGTATACCTATCTCTGAGTCTGAAAGAGTTAAACTTTTAGCTTAAAATAGATTCTCCTTTAACATAATTTCAATTATAATCAACTAACGACAAATTAATATATATTTCAATATTTTTCATTAAATATCTCTTTTTTTAGTAAAATTTTAAATATAATAAAAAAAAATTTCTTCAATAAGTCAAATAAAGAGTTAAAAATTATATTATCATTATTAAATATCGTTGTCTTCGAGGCGAAACTATGTAACTCGATTTATAGTAATTATTCATGAGGTAGAAAATATCACACCATTTTGTATAGCTAATAATAATTTTTTTCAATTATATTACATCAATAAATAATATAAATTATTTATTTCAAAACTCTTAAAATGTGTCACATTCTATTTATGTATAAATTCATGGTTGTGGAGACGACCACACAATTTATTTTCACTAGTTTACATGGAAATAATTACATTTTTGGAAGATAAAATATAATAAAGTTACACCATATTATTTTATTTTAATTTTTTTAGTAAAAAATTTAGCAATTCAAACAATTTTATCACACTATGAATATGATATTTCTACAAATTTACAACTTAACTTGCGTTAACTTAAAGTTAATAAGATTTTGTAACTTAACATTTCACTTAATTTAAGAAAAAAATAACAGATTAATATACCAAGCATTGAAAATAATTGTCTAAAAACGTTGAAACTAGTACGCTGATATAACTATAAGACTATTAAAAAAAAAATCATTTTTTATAAATTATTGTTTTCATTAGAGATTCAATAAACCTATTCCATGCAAAACAGTTCATTCCGAGAACAAACATTTATATTAGAAATATCAAACAACTATTTTAGATTACATTAATTTAAACTTATTTATAAAAAAAACAATAGCTTTTATTGTAATTTTATTTTCTATGCTCACAATAACCTTTAAGATTAATATGTTATCATGTATTTAACAATGCATACATTTTCTCTTACTATAAGTTTTTTTATTATTTTGAGAACAGCAGTTGAACAAGTTACTTAATTTATTATTATTACTATTTAAACTCTGATTTATACTTTATATTTATTTTAATACTAATAGAAAGATCACATTTTTACGAAAACATTTTACAAACTTAATAAATATACTGAAAAATATCTTAAGGAGAAAAAATATATATATTTAACTAATAACATTTCATCAAAGTCTCAAATAGAAAATCCTTTGTCACCTTTTTTCATGACAATAATCCAAAAGTACTTGGCATATTTCCAGATGTACTGAACTTTTGGCGATACCAACTTTTTTATTAGGTAACTCAAATTACATCTACCTTTACAAAAGTAAAATCTCACGACTCAAAAAGAATTATAATATTAGCTATACACTAACAAACTATAAAAAAACATATAGAAACTTATAATAATGAACACAAAATTATATACTGACTTTCAAATTCAATAAGTATTCATTTAACAAGACTTTATGAAAATACATAGTCACTACAAATCAAGTGACTAGTGTGAAATAGTGACCACGAAGGAAAAACATTATTTTAAAATGCATAAGTGTATTTAATAGTTAGTCTTTATTTTAACAATGCAAATTTTAATGAACGGATTTTTAATTTTAAACATTTTTATAAAAGTATTACCCGATGTCTTGGTATCAGTATTTTTATTTAAAAATTTCACCGATTAAATTTATAAATATTCAGTAATGATACTGTAATTGTAGATGCAATGTTGAGACATTTAGTCAACTATCCATAAAATTGTTATTTCTACATTTATCTGTTAAAAACATGTTATTAAGTATTCTTGTTATCAACAGGAATACTTTTCACTTCATTTTTAAATGTTTTACGCATTGTATTGTTACGCTCAACGTTATACTAATTGAAAATTTTACAATATATTAATTATTATCTTAGTAATTTTTACAAATATTTCATACTTATTTAAAAAAGGGAATAAAAAATAAAATATTTTTAAATTTAATGCTTAAAAATAGTAAAACTAGAGAAATCTTAAGTCGATCTAAGTTAAAAGCTAGCCTATATGCTTTATAATATGTAAAGTTAAAAGTAACCGGTACAATTAGGATTTGTCAGAAAAGGGACCAATAAATTGAAATCTGACTTAATGAATAATTATCATTAAACGTTGTGATTCTATTGTGCTTAAAGAAAGTTTGACTATTCTAACTTTCGTTTATTGATTTTATAACTGAAGTATGAATTGAAATAGTAAATTATCATACGCCATTGGTTCTAGTAAATATTTTTTTGAATTAGATCTCTGAAGTCTCCCTTTAATATACTTATTAGGTGGACGTATGCAAAAACAAAGAATTGAAATCATAGTTTTTTATAGGTTCATATTCAGATACTATAAAAAATTAATTTAAGGTACCGTTTTTGATGTTTGGTTTTATATATATATATATATATATATTTTAATTTTCAGATGAAACACGCATACTGGGTTGAACACTGGATAACATTGGATGTTTATTTTACTCTTTACTATGCTTTCCGCGTTGTCTTCGTTCATACCGGGCCTTGCATATCCCTCGTGGTATTGAATTTATTACTTTTCAGGTAAGCAAAAATTAAAATATTACTTTATTTACATTGCTTCTTAACTCAACCCAATCCGACTTGTATAATAACAAAGTACACAGATCAAGATAAAAAAAGTGAAATGCAGTCCAAGTTCAGCACAGCGAAATCAAGGCATTTTTGTAGATAATTATTAATTGACATCAGACAGTGATTTCAATAAATGTCGTAAAACGCTTTAATGCGTATTTGAAACAAAATCTTTTTAACTGATCCTAATGAAATTACGATTTACTCAATATAGTCAGTAAGTTTTTAATAAAATTAACTTCTTATTTATATTAAAAGTTAACTTAAAATACTTTCAATTCTAAAATGATTCCTACTGCAAAATCGCTATTTTTTATGGAATATTAATTGATTAGTCACTAAAAAATTCTTATTTTTAACAAGAGATTGAAAACGTTAATTTTCAAAAGATACATTTTATCTAACGTAACCGACAGTTTTGATTATTGTGATATTGTCTTTAGATAATATTATATATTATACATATTTTAAAGGAAATATAAAATATTTATGAATTTTAATTCCTCTCTCCGACGACCAACCAACCACCCGTCCCGGATTTTCAATGGTTAAAAAACCTCCTCCTTTGGGGTAGACCGCTATGGCTCTTAATGAGCTTATAAAGCGTTAAAAAAATGAATTTTAATTAATTTTTTACCAAGTTATGGGTTTTAGAACTTTACTATTAATTTTTTCTGGAACAAAAAGAAAATATCGTTTCAACAATAATTTAATTGAAAACTTATTAATAAATATATATATTTAATCAGTTTTTTAAATCACTTAATCTATCTGTATATTAAAAAAATTACTGTCAGATATCAATCTACTAGTTTCAGTTATGCTATTTCTGACTATACTAGGTTTGTTTAACCTATTTTATTTATTTAAAAATAATAAAATTTTTCTTGGAATATATCAAGTGACAGTATTATATATGATATTTATTGAACATAGGTTTTTTCAAATCAATAAATACTTGTTTAGCTTTGACAACAGATAAATCAACAGCTGTGTAACAGAAAATAAGAATTTTATTACTACTTATAAGAATCAAAAAATTACAACTAAATAAAAACGTTATAATAAAGTCGATACGTTCTGATGACAATTATTAGTTTTCAGTGCAATAAAATTATAATCTAAACAAAAAACTATGAGAAAAAATCATTCTGACACATATCCTATAAATTGTACTTTAAAAACCATTTTTATTCACGAACAATTTTTCACTCTTATTTAAAATAGTCAAATTAAATACTGTATTTAACATTTTATAAAAGTACTCTAACGATACATTATGCAGACCTATGCATTTCTTATTGTTGAACAATATGTCTGAGAAAAGCGAACTTCTACAAACTGGAAAAAACAAAATAATAAAATACACTTGTTTACTTAAAGGTTGTATAATTAATAGAAAAGTCCCTATACATAAAATATCTTTCGTGTTTTCAAATAATGCATAGCTTTTAAAATAAATTGGTCTATTGTGAAATTGAATAGCAATAAAATTTAAATTAATACCAACAGGATTTTTCTTCTTCTTGTGGTTCCTATCAGTTTCGTTTTAACACTGTTCAGTGTAACACACGGTGTCTTAACAAGATTTTAAGGAGTTGTAATAGTTTAATATTATCCTGTTGTTACAGGGCCATGAGAGATGCTCAACTGAAAAGAGACAAATTATTCAAAGAAAATCGGAAGAATGAATGTAAACGTCTGAGGGATTCCAATTGCACAACATTAATGCTAATTGTCGTTGTTACCGTTTTTTTAATGACCGAAATACCATTAGCGGTGGTAACGGTAAGCAAATGCTCATTTTGTTTAAAACATAATACGTGACGTACATCAAATGATAAGATTAAAACATGTACAATGTTCACTATAAATGCATTTTGTATTTAATATTTTTTATTACATTAAGTTCAAAAACATTTCAACATATATATATGTGTTACATAACAATAATACCTCAGTTCACACTTACGATTTCCGAAAAACATTTTCATCAAGTTATATTTTTTCTGAATAGCACATTAAAATAGAGCAAAAACGTTTGAATCAATGATGTGCTATAAACGATACCATATTGTAAAAGTAAAATATTTTCTATTTCACTGCAAAACCACGTATATCGATTTTTTTCTAGAAATTTCTCAGAAAAAACTTTTGTGTTTATTTTTGATAATGCTAATCTTCGAAATGACCCATATTTAAAATTGAATAAATGCTAATAGTTTATTTTTTACGAAGTAATCATATGCAGGGGATAATATGTCAACATCTATAAGTTAGTAAAGCAGTTTGATAATTTACAAATATTTTATTATTTTATTGGTAGGTGTTACACATTATTTCCAGCAGCATCAAAGAAATTCTAGATTATTCAGTGGCCAACTTGTTAGTGTTATTCACAAATTTCTTCATAATTGTCAGTTACCCTATCAACTTCGCCATTTATTGTGGTATGTCCAGACAGTTTCGAGAGACTTTCAAAGAGCTGTTCATTAGAGGATCAGTACAAATCAACCGCAAACATGGAGTCGGAGGTAGTTCTCGTTACTCGTTAGTCAACGGCCCCAGGACGTGTACCAACGAGTCTTTGCTTTAAACTTAAGCACTACTTTAAAACAAAAGCCCAATACAGTATTGTTTTTGTCTATTGACTGTGTGTTTTTTTTCTCACTAAATCGTATTTTAGTCGTACCGACACACATAATCAGTGAAATGAAATATCAGAAATATATATTTAACTAGGTAGTAATACTTTAAGCACTCTTCGTCACTTTTCAAATACCCGTTTGTCTTTCTGCGCCGTTCAAAGACGGCGTTTGTTACATTTTGCCCTTGATTCACTAAATGTACAAAAACCAAACTTAAAAAAAAAAAACCTGAGTGATAGTTAAAATATATATTTAATTGACCTTCAACAAACACTATTTAATTAAAAATAATTTTGTTGTAATTTCACTAACATATTGTATTTATGTTCTTTCCACTTGTTCCGACATTAGAACGGACTGATCTCTAAAAAGAACAAAATAGTCTTGATGAAATTATGTACATATAATAAGATAATTAAGTTAATGTGGATTTTTTATAGAAAGTAATATATTAATTTATAGATATTGTAAACCTTATATGCTATGCACTGTATATTAACTACAGTATATATACTGTTGATAGATAATTTTAATCGATAGACATGTATATAATTGTTTAATAAGAACAATCAACTGTCATCGTGGAAAGGTGAAACTAGCTGATAGAAAATTTATTTTATTTTTTTTATTATTACTTGAAAATGTAAAAATGAAGTACTCTTTATGAATTAATGACTAAACTATTTATTCTTAAATAATAATAAAAACAAAACTTTACTTCAACAATTAAAAATTAAGAATAATCTACCACAGCAGATAACAAATTTAAAATATTTACCACATAAACATTAATTATGAAATAAACTTTAAATATAGATGAAACGGTGGTAATTAATAAAAAAGTTGTATTTACCACAAGCACAGACACAGCAGGAGTTTTTTTTTATTAGGAGAGAAGGTTATTTTACTATTTCTGTTATTTTAAAATAACTCCTATCGCCTCCTGTTATCTACACCCGATTTACTGTAAATACTTAATTTTTAGGTAATTAAAAATTTGATTAAAATTTTTTTTTAATAATAATAAAATGAAAAATAAAAATACCGCCGACCCTTAAATAATACACTTCTTCTCATTTCCTTATAAAATGCCGTCTTTTTTTCACAAAAGCGAATTTGTTATATGACATTAAGAAAAAAATTGATTGGAATGGTCGATAATAAAATCTATTTGAGTTATCCCGCCAAAACTATCTCACAGTAAATTACAGTCCACATAATTACAAAATATTTATTGTAATTATCAATACAAAAATAAATATAGTCGAAAAGTAGTTAAGAAATGTTAAGGGCAAATATGTCCTCTGTAGGTACCACATATGCCCGCTTATTCTTATCTAATATAAAATTAAAACATGAATAATTAAACATTAAATAAATGTCATTAAAATGAATCATTTCTCAATAATTTAAATAACGATATAAATTTAAAAATTCATAGAGCCAAATTTGAAAAAAATATTGTTTGAGTAATATTAATTTGACTTATGATTTACGTAAGTGATGTAAATATTTTACAATATTACTGTGATAAACCGTCTTCGTATCACTGACAGTTAAATAACCATCACGTGATTTTAATTACTGTTAAGTATCCATCAACACTAATATAAAAGAATTCCTCATTTCTGCTATGCTTGATCCCGTTTTTTTAAAAAATTTTCTTTTCATATTACATTAAATTTATAGTTTATTTGTGGTCGTATTTCTATACATTGAAAATAATCATACATGTTTAAGCAAAAATAATAATAATATGAAAAACATATGTCACGTCTAGAAGTTATATATCTCTACTAAACGTAACACAATAGTGTCTAGTTTTTTCAATCAGTCACTAGCAAAAAAAAGTATATAAAAAATATTAAAAAAAACATTTCACTCTAAAAATATATAAAAAATATCTTTTTTGAACGCAAAAGTTATAATCAGCCACTTTTTGTGTTGAAAACAAAATTGATTCGTTAAAAATACTTTCATGATATTACAAAAAGTTTTTTATTCGTGATTATGATTTTTTTTTACGTTAAAAATTATGTTTTATTAAAAAAATGTATTCAATTGCAACAAGTTAATTATAAATATTTTATCTATAGATAAATGTGTCTTTGATACTATTGATTTTAGCTATTTATATTAGTGTTTCAGGTAGATATTTATTTAAATAACCTACTAATTTGAACCGAAAAAAAAAATACCAGTTCATAAAGCAATAAACAAATGTTTCTAACCAACACATTAAATACTTTGTTGCTACCTAACGACGCGTGCCCATAAATAAAAAGAAGAACAAATTTAAGGGTGCAGTATAAAAAACTTACAATTTTTAAATAATCTATGTTCCATTTACATTTTTATAAATAAATAATAAAAATCACAGTGATCATATCACATACGTTTTCCGGCATAAAACTTCTTGCATGCACTCTTATTATTTACTATAAAAATTTTACATCAGTAAACAAATGATGGAAAAGGATACCTTAAAAAAAAGATATTGTCAGAACACTAAGTAATTTTATTCGTTTACTCAAGGGCATAACGTCGTTGACCGGATGAAATAACTAAGTAGGTAAACAACCCGGTGCAAAGAACAGTATCAAAAAATATATATATGACGCATTTATAAAAATAAAAAGGATATATGGTAATATTTTGTGAAAAAAAAACTCCCGGAGCACTCCTTACCTAAATACTGAAATCAAAACTAGAAAATACATTAATTAAACGGCAGAATAACTAGTTGACCAACTTGAGCTTAACTGTGAATTATAAATGACAAAAAGCGCGGAAAGTTTTCATTATCATTAATTAAGGGAGACGATACTGCTTACACGTTTGTCAGTTACGAAGTTTCAGTTTATTAAAGAGCAACCGGCGTCACAGATCAAATTAAGTTCCCGCAAGCATCCTGTCGCCATTTATAATAGGGTATATTAATCGATTGAACACGTCACACTTTCCATTATACTACTCTGGCCTTTCCTTTAGTTAAATTAGCTTTAGACTTGGAAACATTTAATATGAACAATATACACAGTATTACATATACACCACAAAGTACAAAAGGGTTTGAGAATTACTATGTGAATAATATCTAAGTAAAATTAAGATAATAAATTTTTGATAAACATTGAATAAATTTAAAAGTAATACATATTACAATTATATGTATATTTTACAAAAATATCTCACATAAATATTTTCCTAAAAAATTTTAAGTCACAGCACTTATTTGATACTTACTTTTAGTAGATATTCACTGATAGTATTTATTTTATCAGATGAAAGTTAAAAAAAAAACTAATGAGAATTTCTTGAAAAATAATTTTTTATGTAATTTTTTTGATTTGATTAACTGAATACTCAATGTCATCATTTATTATCTTAACTCTTAAGGACTGCCACTTAATTTACATAATATCATTTTAGTTTTTGCAATTTAACATTTTAATTAATGTATATTCAATTAATCCTAGTACTTATGGCTGAGTAAACGTCACTAGACTCTATCAATAAGTTCTTCGAGCAAAACTTACACCACTAAAATATTAACTTAGCAAAACACATTAACACTCCTTACTCTTGTTCAAATAGGATAAATATACACACTTTTGTACGGCGTATTGTATTTAAATTATATAATTTTAATTATTTCGATTAATAATTTAAAATTGTTAAACATACTATTGAGATGAATTTTAAACTGCTATTTCATGACATGAAAACCATAAGGTTCTATCAATATGCGTAAGAGTTGTAATTTGTTACTACATGGTAATTTTGATTGTTCTTTTTGCTTTTGATGTAATACATTACTGTCAAATTAGACGAACACATATTAGGTGACATGAATAGAATACTTATAATAATATCAACTGAGTTAATTATTTCTATGATGTATTATATAAATTAATACTTTCAATATTAATATTTTGACAAATGTGATTTTTTAACTTCCTACTAATAAAAATCTGCTGAAAAGAAAATATATAAGTAAATAATGTACTGTACTTTTCCCTGTATAAACATAAATATTATTTAATTGTAAATTTATAGTTATTACTCTATGATTTGTACATAATTTTTAAAAGTTAATGTTTTCAAAAGATTTAATATTTAATTTTTCGTTATTTGTAGTGTAACTTATTGATAAGTATTAAAAATTAATTCGTTATAATATTTTTAAGGTATTTAAACTGTAAGTCAATCATTAAAATGGTATTAATGTAATTTTATAGTACCTAAGAATATGTAGTAGAATATAATTTATAACACATGATTTTCTAGTGAGATTGTACTATTGTAAATGTTATGATTGTAAGATCTCATGTGATCTTTTTTTAGCATTCATGACATCGATATTTGTTCAAGAAATACTATTTAAGATCGTCGATAACTCATCTGAATTATCATATGTGTATACATATTATCATAAATTATTTAAGTGTAGTGTATTATTGTAATAATAAATATTTTAAATACTACCAAATATTAATTCTTTGAACATAAACAGTCTAAACAATATTCAATTTATATCATTGTTTCGAAAATGAGTAATAAAGGGTTGACATTTTTAAAATAACAACATTATTAATTAGAGCAATGAAATTAAAAAAATTAATTTAGTTAAACCCGAAAAAATTATAAATACTCGTGGCTAATTAATTGGGATATATCGGAGTAAGATGGCGATGTTAAACTTCTATGATTTTGCTTGACTTTTATGGATGAATTTAAAATATGAAATTTGCGTAAGAACTACAAAATGTAACCTAATACTACAATTTTTTTCAATCGTCCCTTCATTCTTCCAAAGGACGAAATATGAGTTTTCCTGAAAATTGTCATTTTTGTCAATTACCCCATAATTGGGAAAAGATTATGAAAATGATTGTTAAACTTAGTAACCTTAACTTTGTAAAAAAACCTAGAACAATGGAATCGTGCTATAGTTGGAACAAGTATAGATGATATTTAACAGTGTTTTTATCACTATCATAAAAAACCGTTCGCTGCAAATCTTTAGACAGTGTTTATTTTTTAGAAATAATTTTTAAATTATTCTAAAAGCAACATTAACTTATATTTCCTTAATTACATACTGATTATAAGTATAATACATAAATTAATACACTCTATAAAAATGAAATTTAGTAATAAATTGATTAATTCAATATTTTGTGTTGAAATTTTAAAAAGCTAAAAAAATTAAAAATATATTTAATTAAGAAAATAACTAGTCAATAACAACTTTTGAAGTAGTACTTTGGAATGATAAAAATAACATAACATACTTCACCTCCATTGTATATTATTAATATTTATAGCTTCCGAAATAAATGAGCAAAAGTTGTCATCAACCAATAATTTATTAATTTTTATTTTTATAAGCTAGTTAAATATGCATGTTACCATTTAAAAAAGTTGACACCCTTATTAGGTATAAAAAAAAATTATTTTAATATATAAATCAAGAAATATACTTCTTGTATTATACAGGGTGTTCAGTAAGTCAGGAAACGGGTTTCTATTGTTCTCATTGTTACAAACAATGAGAAAAATAGAAACCCGTTTCCTGACTTACTGAACACCCTGTATATGTATAATATACTAAAAAAGATTTTCTTAACATAAATATTACTTTAATGGATAAGAGTGGCTATTAAAAGAATCACTCTGTATTTCGTTAGATCAATTTGTCATAAGCCATTTTAACTAGAACATTTTTTTTTTTTTTTTGAAAGGGTAGTCCCATTCTTTTATTGCTAAAAGGATAATTAATATTTAACTAACACTAAAATAATTTTTTAAATATCAAACACAGTTTTATAGTCATTTTGGAGAAGCGATAAGTATCCCCATTTAATCCCCATCTCTTTTTAAGAAAATAAATTCAAGTATAAATTATAAATATTTTCAAGCAAAATTTTGAATTTTTTATAATAATAACCAAAAAAAAATTCTAACTACCAATGGTTTATAATAAATTATAATTAAGTTATTGTAATTAGTTAACTGACGAAGGTTAAAATAATAATATCAAGAAAATTAACTTTCTTTTTTTTTTTTTTGATAAATTAATATTTACTATTTTGCTTTACGTTTGTCATAGAGGTATCGAAATTCATAATAACTTTGTGTAATTTCTACATACAAATTACAATACTAAATTATTGAATATTAATTTTATATATAATAAAATTACTATAATAATTATTTATTTATTTATTATACATAAAACAATAAAACTTGTAAGCAGGATATAATAAAGGAAATAGAAGATGACGTTGCTTTTGGAATAATTAACAATTCCTTCTAACACAAAAAAAATTTAAACAAAATCAAAGATTAGCATAGAAACATTTTTATGGTAGTGATTTTAATTGTCTACTTTTAAAAAATCCATACTTGTTTTTTACTAATAATAATGTTAGCTCACCACACACACCCAGAGAAAAACCTCAATCTATATAATAAATTCATTGTTCAATTTGATAAATATATCATTACTATTGAATCAATGATATATTTATCAATATGATATTTTTTTTTCTTGTCTTGAACAATAATTATTTATAAGAATAGTTATTTTGTTCGTATTAATAAAACATTATCATAAACCCTTGATAAAATTTCTCTTTCAATTTTGATTGAGGTTTTTCTTTGGGTGTAGCTTATCAACTTAATTTTTTTTTTCTTTGAAACTAACCAGGAAAAGGCTTAAAGCAGAGAAATCTCAAATACTTAGTATTCACGTCCTAGAGCACTAATGAATGTTTACTAGACATCCACATTTATTTAATAAAACAGCATAGTTATGGTAGACACAACACTATTTTTCTCATCAATTCACAGTTACAAGTTAAATGATGATAATTATGTATGTGTTAAGCAAATCGATATACGAAACGTTGTTTCATGTTAAAAACTGTTAAATATTAGAACAATCATTTTGGAAGTTTATTAATTTCCAAGTAAAACTACTAAAATTATAAAAAAATTAATTAATTATATTTGACAATGTATTCCATTTGAAAATTGAATCATTTTCTTATTTTAAAATGTTACTAATACTTTTAAATATTAGTATAATATGTAAAAGTAGATGTAACTTCATAAGGCTTATCTATAACTAAAAGGATTTTTAGCATTCATTACTATATATATAGAGAAGGATGATTTTCTAATGAAAAATGTTATAAAATTTATTTTTTTATCTTGATCATTTCTATTGTCATTTATCACAATAAGAATATTAAATTGTATTTGTTCTTTTGTAAAATAGTAAAAATTAATAATCAACTTTTGGAAAAAAACCACAGAAATAATTAGAGCTGATTTTTTATGCATTTATAAGTTTTTTTTTTATCAACTTTGAAAGATCTCCAATATATGTAACTTGTCCTAGGATTATATAATGTGTCCTTAATTATTGACCACAATGAGTGGTCCTTAATTTTCAATATTAGATTTTTATTAATTTTATTCCCAAGTCGGTTCATATATGTATAAAAAAAAGTGTACAAAATTGGCAATCGATTGGTTAAGTTTAACCCGTGCCCATTAAAATTGAAGAACATTTTTTCACTGAATTAACCATTTTTTATCAGTTTTTAATTTATATTTCATTACAACTTATTCATATAAAAATAT